TATATATATATATTCTAGTTTTCCATGATGCATTAAAACCCATGTGTTATTTTATCACCATTCACACAAATTCTCACATTATTTTTTTGGGCTTTCAGGCTTCGATGTGGCAAAAACTGGTGATGCTCGAGTTGGATTTGTTGGTTTTCCCTCGGTAGGAAAGTCCACCCTGCTCAGTAACCTTGCAGGTGTGTACTCTGAGGTTGCAGCCTACGAGTTCACAACTCTTACAACAGTGCCTGGAGTTATTCGGTATAAAGGCGCCAAGATTCAGGTGCAAATATTTTTTCTTTCATTTCTTCATGACCTGGTAAAAGGTTTTAGTTTTCAGTGCATAGATAATTTATCCATTGATTGTTTTTTTCCCCCTAGCTCTTGGATCTCCCAGGAATCATTGAGGGAGCCAAGGATGGCAAGGGAAGAGGCAGACAGGTCATCGCAGGTACAGTTGTAGTCACTAATATTTCTGCAAAACACTAGGGGTGTAAGAAAATATCGATACACTGAAATATCGCGATATTTCATTTCCCGATACTGTATCGATATTTGAAAGCCCTGTATCTATTTTTTTTATTAAGGTTTAAAATGTCAACTTTCCTGCCAGCCGTTCATTTTTATGTTGAAGTTCAGCCTCTGACCACTAGTTGGCAGCAGTGAGCCAGACATTTGGCTCCTCTACCGCTATTGTTAAGTGTTGGGTGACCATATTGTAAATTAATATTAAAAACAAAAAGCTGCAAAAAATATATATTTTCAAATTATTTATTGTCAAATTTAGTCTAATAATTGAAAACATGGATGAAATAAGAAATATGAAACAAATAAAATAAAATACATGCAAAGCAGAACACAGCTAAATGTATCAAAAGCATGTCTGTGTAATATTAGAATTTTCTGAGACAATGAATTTTGGTTTTTCATTTTTTTCCCCCTGTAAGAGGTTTTTATTTAACAGAATTTTTTGGACAAAAAAATTGCAATATATCGCGATATATNTTTTTGGACAAAAAAATTGCAATATATCGCGATATATATCGCCTTGCTTATAGCATCGCTATATATCGGGATATATCGTATCGTGACCCCTTTGTCATGATATGTATCGTATCGCCAAATTCTTGCCAATACACAGCCCTACAAAACACAGTGAAAAGAACTGATTTCATTCAAATATCTTGGTGCTGATGTGCATGGGGAGTCAAAGTCCAACTGTTTTGATGCTGTCATAAACTACTTTTAAAAAAATAGATTAATAAATAAACAACTTCCTTTTAGACTTGTCTATAACCTAAAACATGACGTGTTACAGCACATTTTTCAGTCATGTCTTTCACTTTGTTTAACTTCGGAGTGACTGTGGCTGAGTGAGTGATTAGGGGAGTCGTCCTCCAATGAGAGTGGGGGGTCTGATTCTACGGCTATTCAGTCACATGTCGAAGTGTCCTTGGGCAAGACACTACACCTCCACTGCCTCTGATGTGTGTCCCATCAGTGTATAAATGTGATTTAGGCACTGATTCATCTCTAGAGAATGATTTATACAGATTGGCTTGATGTAGTAGAGTGCTGTTTGAATGAGGGCACAGAGTTTAGTGTAAAGTGCTTTGAGTATTCTGGTTGGAGAAAGGCACTATATAAGTACAGTCCATTTACCATTACTCACATTCTGCATTCTCCTACACAAAGCTAATGACTGCTATCTTTCCTCCTTTCTTGCTTTTCCTCAGTGGCTCGAACCTGCAATCTAATCCTGATAGTGCTTGATGTGTTGAAGCCTCTTCTTCACAAGAAGCTAATTGAGCACGAGCTGGAGGGCTTTGGCATCCGACTCAACAAGCAGCCACCAAACATCGGGTTCAAGAAGAAGGACAAAGGAGGTATCAATTTCACTGCCACGGTGCGTCTCACATAACTCAAAAACGTTGAATGCAAATATTACATTTACCTCAGAATCGGTCGCTGCACAGGATAATTGCATTGTGACAGGTTTTATTTGTTTGTTTTTCCTTAGTGTGCACAAAGTGAGCTGGATGCTGAGACGGTTAAGAGCATCCTTTCAGAGTACAAGATCCACAACGCCGACATAACTTTGCGCAGTGATTGCACAGCCGATGACCTTATTGATGTGGTGGAAGGAAACCGGTAAGCTTCTGGACTGGACTTTTAACTCTCCCATAAAGCTTATACTGGTGAATAGTGCTGCACCAAACGATTATTTTCTAATCGATTAATCGATTATTCTAACAACAAATCTAAAAGTTATTCTGATGTGAGTGCACTGGAAATTTAAAATGTTTTCATCAACAAGAACAGTTCTTTAATATTGTAATATTTTCTGTAATAATTTTTTTCATGGACACAAAATATGCACTCTAGAGTCAATTCTTTAACAAAAAAAGCTTAAAATATTTAACATCAACATAAAATCTCAACCAAAGCATATAAAATTCAACTAAAAGAAATATAGTGCAAGATGTTAACAATCTAACAAATGAACTAAATCATGCAAAATTCAAGTCACTCTGGAAAAACTATAATAAACATATAATAAACATTTTTTTATTATTTTTTATTTAACATATTTCTCAATATATAAAATTTAACAAATATCAAGACAACATCCAACTCTTTGTATTGTAACATCAGTTGTGTAACTTATTTCTTTAAGGTGAAAACTGTTGAAAACAATAAGACTGTTTTGTCTTATTGTACAAATTAAAATCCAGCTCCACGTGTTTCTATTGATGTCATTTCCCCACTAGAAAAATGTGTGATGGAGGTCCATGGAAGACAAATAAGTTTAAATCAAATAAACAAAAGAGGATGCAGTTAAAATAAATAAAAGGTATTTAAGCTACGTTTTGAACATCCAGAACACGTCCAACACTTGTTGGCTGCTTGTGCTCTTTAGGTCAGACGTGTGTCGGGAAGCTCCTCTGTTGTTTGAGACGCTGGGGGAACCGTCTGATGGGGGAACCGTCTGATGGGGGAACCGTCTGATGGGGGAACCGTCTGATGGGGGAACCGTCTGATGGGGGAACGTGGCTCAACCTAACACCGGCCTCTGTTTAATGGTGGATGAAATAAAGAAAGTGGTGGTACTTTATTTATTTTGAGCAAGCGAACGTCATGTTCACAATATAATTAATCCACCAGATAATTCAGAGGGGCTCTGTTTGGTAAATTTTACTCCAGGAGCTGCGAGGTTTGTTTTCAAGCTTCAGACTGAACTGAAGCAGCGGCTGCTGACATCATTACGAACTTGCGCGATGCTGCGTTCAGGACAAGCATGAAAAACTCACCACTCTTATGCCAATACAGTCGCAATGATGCATTTAGGTACCGAAATGGAATTGCATGAACATTCACGTGGTGGTTATGTAATACAGCGAGTCGATAATAAAAAATCTGCGTCGACAAATTTAAATAATCGACGTCATCGATTATTTCAACTAATCGGTGCAGCCCTACTGGTGAAGAACCTGGGCAACAATTGTATAAACAGTCTCTTCCATCTCACCTGGTGAAACCTGTAACTCCTTCAGATTCGTCACAAGGCCAATTTTCTATTGACTGATTTATGACAGCAATAAAAGTATTAAACCTTTAAGGGGGTGAATACTGTTTGAATGCACTGTATATTTTCTATTAAACTAAGTATGGTTCAGTTTATCATTCATCTTTGAACCATAAATGCTCAGAAAAACATGTTCTAATTCCTAATGAAATGTTTTTAAACTGAGTAACATAATGCTGATAATAACTGACTTTTCTTCACATCTCAACAGGGTCTACATCCCGTGCATTTATGTGCTCAATAAGATCGACCAGATCTCCATCGAGGAGCTTGACGTCATCTACAAAGTCCCCCACTGCGTGCCCATCTCAGCCCACCACCGCTGGAACTTCGACGACCTGCTGGAGAAGATGTGGGACTACTTGCAGCTTGTGCGCATGTAGGATTTTCTTTTATTTTTTTTTATTATTATTATTTCTTTTTTGATCTATTGCAGGAGCTCAATCACAGATTTTAAACACTTGGTGAAAAAGATGTTGTAAAATCTGAGATATTGTTGTTTGTCCACAGCTACACCAAACCCAAAGGCCAGCTACCTGATTACACATCTCCTGTCGTACTCCCTAACGGACGGACTTCTGTGGAGGATTTCTGCTTAAAGATTCATAAAAACCTCATCAAAGAACTCAAGTAGTGAGTATTGTAGACAGTTTTTAATTCCGTATTTAAAAATAATTATTTTTTGTAGCTTGTGTGGGATTTTTGATTAAAAACAGAAAACCTGTTTATGGACATTTGCTTGGCTGAAGGGAAATGTGGATACAAGATACATGGACACTTTTTATCATAACTTATCATCCTTCTAAATATGCACAGCATTGATAAAGATAGATATCTTTATTGAAAGTGTGTCTCAGAACAGTGTGTTGGCACACTGACCACTGTACTCTGCAGAGAGGCGTTTTATGGCAAGGCCGATTTCAGGATTTGGTCTTTAGCCAGGCAGTAGTAGTTGGACTTTGTGTGTGGTTTTAAAGGAAGTTCTGTTCATTCTGTGATGTGCTCGAGACTTGACTAACTGGACTGTTGGTCACATAGACCTTCCTGTTTTCTGTAACAAAGGTCTTTTGATTTGGAGAAGTGAAATTGAGTCCAAGAGGTTTGCTGCATAATGATATTCTGCCTTAGCCTGCCTGGAAGATATTAAACTGCATCTCAGGTTTCATTAAAAAAAAAAAAAATCCGGTGAGAAATGGTGGAAAATGTGCTGCAGCCTCCTCGAGCAGAAATCTTTCCTCATGGTAAAACTAAGATATTGCTTTGATTTATGCTCTTTGTTGGCTACATTTCTAATACCTGGTGTGAAAAAAAGGTACCAGCCCACCCTATTTAAAAAAAGCAATTGATCAATTTATGGCAGTGTACTTTGAAGACGGATCGGAGAGTTTAGTTTTGCTCAAGATGATGTTTCACCAGTAAATGGGTGAGCCAAAGTCATCAATCAGTCTGTGTTAGTGCCTCCGAGCATTAAACACTCTCAAGGGAGCAGATGAGTCAAACCGTTAGAAGGCTTCAGCTAAAAGACGCTATTCCCTTCAACTGGTTAATTTTATAGTGCATTTATTATTTTAGCAAAGAGTGGAATGGTATCAGCAATATTTAAACTCCTCTTTTTTCTCCCTTCCAGCGCTCTCGTGTGGGGCTCGTCTGTGAAACACAACCCGCAGAAGGTGGGCAAAGACCACGTAATGGAGGATGAAGATGTTATCCAGCTGGTGAAAAAATAAAAGAAGTTTTAAGTCACTGCATGACCTGTGCATCAAAAAGTTGCTCTGTAAATCACCAAACATGTCCAAAACAACTCTCTGTCTCTCATCGGCTGGCTTTAATAATAAAAAAAAGTGATATATCACATTTGGGGGGGAAAAAACAGTACTTAACATAATTAATAGTTCATATTGAATGTTGGTTAAGGCTTGCATTTAAAACAAAACTGTACAATAAAAATTAATTGAATCCTTTTTCTGTTTTTGGTCTTTTGTTTCTTATTATGATATACCAGTAAATGTAAAAGAAACTTAGAAAAATAACCTGCTGTTTGTATATAAATCTTTTAGTAGCTAAATTTAATTTGTAACCCCAAAAAAAGGAGCGTTTTTGAATCATGTACTCATGTCACCGCAAACATTCAAACCAAAGGGAGGAGAAAAATGCTGCATTTGAACGCACTGTTTAGCTCAATGATTTATGTGACATTGATGATGAAGCCAGTTATTCAGACTGGCGGTCCGCTCCCTCTCTCTGGTGGGGACGGCCACTCAGGTTAATCAGTTCATTCGCTCAGATGCAGCCCAGGGTCATTGGATGCAAGCTGTTCACAAGTAAAACTCCAAATAAAGCTGCCTTTTTTTAATACATCAAAGCTTGTTGCAGTTCTGCAGGGTAGTTTTAAGCAGATGTTAGTATGCAGCAGGCATCGTTCAGCAGAGGAGCCATTTTACGTCTGGACATGTAGTTGGGAAATAAGATGGTACCAGTGCATGCAAAAGTATGAGTAAGACTGGAACATTGAAGAATAATGAATAGATTTGTTTTTCTCCTGAAAATGTCTACAAATAGACCAAAGCACAATCAAATAGGATTATAAAGATTTTTGTCATGTGCTTCAATGTGCAAAACACTTCAACAAACTACAATATGCACAACTGCATTTTTTATTGTCAAAACTATGTTACCAGTTTCTAAATCAAAATCAATCTATTTCCTGTTTTCTAAAATAAATTATGTGGTAATAAAAATAATTTAGTTTAACTAACATATTTGATGCCGTTTGGTAAAATATAAAAGCGTTTTATGTTTGGGTTCATTGTGCAAATGTAATTTAATTGAAGTCAAATGATTAAAATTCAAGGTGGAAGAAAGTTTTCACAGCAACAAAGTTTTGAAAAGAGTTATTTGATGTTTTAGTCGAAAGTTCTTTCCCATCTCAGCTGCTTTTCAGTAAAAGCTGCAGTGGCTGAGGGTAACGCCTTCTGTCCAGCAGCAGCAGCATCGACCCTCCCCAGACACCGCCTCCACCCCCACCCCTTTTACCCTGTAAATTATAGCAGCACTTTAGCTAATGAAAGAGTTGAGGACCGGGCACTAATAAAAGCCATTAAGTGAATAAAGCACTTCCCCCCTCCAACAAAATTAAAGAATCTACCCATTTAGAGAGGGCGGACTCTGTATTAATATTTATGAAATGCGGAACCAGAGGCCCCCCCAAACTCCCCAAGTCTTGTCCAATCCCAGACTGACCAAGTCTTCATTGCCAGAGCGCCTATCCCAAGAGAACATCACCAACCCCTCCTAGCTTGAAGGAGGGGCAGGAGATGGGGTCTTGAAGGGTGCCGAGGACGCAGTCGGGACAGTCTTTCTCCAGTAGGGCAAGCTGGAAGACTTCACCCCCAAGAACCTGCTCAGATCATCCAGCCTTCACCCATCAACCGGCTGCATGCTTGGGAAGGTGGGTTTCTCGGAAAGACCAAATAAGTTAAGAAAATTTGCAGAAGATGTCAGTAAAATTAAGCGTAAGTTAACTCTTCTAGTGTTTACCAGTTTGTCAAACTGGTTGAGAGATTGTAGACTAAAAAACATTGTCATTATTTTCTTAACATTTGGTTTGTCCTAGACCAGATTTACAATTATATTCCAAACCGATAGTCATAGATGACTCGATGGCAGCTCTTGAAGGCTCTCTAACAAGGTGAGCCTCTTGAAGGAGGAAAACCTTCAACAAAAGCGAGGTAAGTAAGCACATTATTGTGTCATAATCATCTGTGCATTAAAACCATCCCATCAAACTCAATTCATCCCCACAAAACATCCTCATTCTGAAAAACAGCCACCCGTTATGCCGCCACCACCTAGCATTTGCATCCAAAGTATCCCCATTTCCATGACATCAGGTACCTTGAAACGCAGAGTTTCTCTTTCTTGCATCGATATTCATTATGTTGTCATTTCATCACACAAAGTGGTTCAGTTGTCCGAGCTCTAAGTTGATTATCGCACCGCCGCGTTCTCATTTTGGTAAGATGTCCCCTGGGAGCTGAAAGAGACTTGAGAAGATAACAAGATTGTGAGACGGTTTGGGGAAAACAGCTCCTTTAGTCTGATGGTATCATGACTCTTGACATTGTACTCAATGACCGTTAACGTGGTTAGGACTAAAATGCCCAAAGTGGTTGTATCTTTAGGTTGAGGAGATGGCACATGTCCTCAGATAGACAGCAGCGATACTGAGAGGTCAACGAGTCGCCGAGGTTTGTTTCGAGTCAATTACAAGCAAAATCTCAAAGTCCGGTCTCTTCGAGATGTGATGATTCTTAACGAGATCACCTAAATTCTGTTTCCATTGATCACTGGTAGAATGCCCTCTGGACAACGTTTCTCAGGCCTTCTGCAAATATTTTCTTAAAGCGTTTGAATGTTTTAATGTTTGTGCGATGAGATAGAGGTAGGATTTTTAGACTTTTTTTTCCTTCAGTTGCATGTAGAGGAGTTGGGCGAGACGGGCGAGAGGGTGGGGTTTGACGCAGTTCGTGCGCAGGAAAGGGTGTAGCCCTTTTTTTCCGCAGTGAGCACGACCTATGACTAATCCTTTTTTTTAATTATTCTGCAGATGTTCTGAACCACCGAAGCTCTTATCTTTGTGTGACCACTGGTTATTTTTTTAAGAACACAGCTATGAGTCAGGATCCCTTCTCGCATTACGTTTAGGACTTTTTGAATTTTTACGTGGCGGAGATGACTGAAGTGGACCAGCCTTCAAAAGAACCCAAGACAAATGGAAAATTCTGTATCTTTTGCAAAATAATTTTGGTAGGTAACGATGCTTACAAATACATTTAGTGACTTTTTAGTGACTTTCATTAATACATTGGTTAACATTATTTAATGTCCTTCAGGTTCCTCAAACTAATTAAGACCAGTTAAATGTTTTAAAATTGTGTTTTCCCCATCTTTGCCCAGGACTCCATTGTGCTTGATCTAACCATGCAGTGCATCCTCTGTCCATGGTTGTGCCAAGCACTTTGGAGGCTTGTGAGCACAATCTACAGTTAACCGATTTTTATTTTTACATTTCAGTTTTTTAGGATCTGAACACTTCAACAGGGCACAACTAAGAAAGCCATCATCAATAAGTACTTTATGTATTAAAAACCTTAATACTTTTAATATGAAGTATGTTTCACATCATGATGAATGTAAAAATGTAAAGGTCTGACCAATAAATACTATTTAAACCTCCTGTGTGTGTTACTTTTTATGTTCAATAAAAAAAAAATAAAACATTTTAAAAGACCAAATTGGTGTCATTGGGTTCATATAGATGAAGCTGTCATTATCTACTAACTGGGTGGCCAAAGTATGTCCAATTTATGGAAGACATCAATTACAGGAAGTGCTCAGTGGCTTTTAACTCTTGTCTCATAGAGGTCATATATTAAAACAATGTGTCGCCTGTCAGGACTGCAAACACAGTTGTGTCACTGGAACATCGAGCCAGTGCAGCATAAAGCCTGCAACCTAAAACAGAGCATTCAGAACCAGTTTTTGTTCTTGAAATAATAAAATTGCATCACTTTGGTTTCCATACAGACTGCAGCTACTTGTTTAACATTCACTTGGTGTCGCCTGGTCCTACGTAATGGACTAAACCAATAAAATTCACTTGTGAAAACCAGACTCCTCCTTTATTTGTGTCTAAATTTAATCATTGCTTTTTTAAAACACAACTTCATGTGGTGGGTGGTGTTAAATAATGATTTACACACATTAATGATTACTGAGATCAAGTGAACTGCAAGGCCCTGCCATGTCATGCTCTACTAAATGAGTGAGCTGTAAGAAAATATTTAATCAGACGTGTGATATAAAAATCCATCTTCAGTATAAGTTGTTTTATTTTTTTCTTATCACGTAAGAGCAGAGTTAGAAATACTGTATTTATTTCATCCCAATTTGTTTTCCTTACATTTTTAAGGCTTTCAGACCCTCTCACACCATTGAAGACGTGATTATAATTATTTAGATATAATTGCTGTCTACATTATATGTACATTCTATTATTATTTAAAGTAAAGGCAATCAGTTGTACAGCTGCTCAGGCCTTACTGAGAACAATAACAGCAGGTACACAAAAACAGCTGGAAGTCTGAGACAGCAAAGGCCTCTGTTTCTCTGTCCTCTGGAGAAAAAAAATTATCGCTGTATTCATTTTATCAGTGAAAAACCTGGGAATCAATAAAACTACAGCAGATTTTAAAGTCCGGACAAGACAGATGAATATTAAAACATGTTTTTGAGTAGAGTTTGGTAAATCAAAACCACATAACAAATAGGATATATATATATATATATATATATATATATATATATATATAGTGTATACATATATATACGTACGAAACATGTTTATGCAATTTCACAGGCAGCAGTTTTAAAGGAAGCTTTAAGCTATATGTGTAAAACTGGATTATCTCAGCATAAAAACAATGAAGCATGTCATGATGTAGAATCAGGTTTTTCCTTTTTCTCATGAAACAATTTTCTTCAACCATTCCATAAATATAGAAATCCTTTATATGTTCAGAAAATATTTTTACGAGAACAATATCTTTAAAGTGAGGAATAAAAGATGGACAAGCCCCTAAAATGCTCAAGTGTAACTAATAACAAAATTGTGAACTTGTTGTTTATAGAAGTGGAGTTTAAATTTAAATTTTACCCATTTTTTAAATTGAATGTTCTTTTGAATGCTAGCAAATATCACCATAAACATTCTGTTACCTAAAATTTTATAGTGAACATTATCTTTGCTCCAAATAGTAAAATCAAATTAAAGTTTAAACTGGTAAATCAATGTAGAAAGATCCTTTAAATGTTATAAACTTGTCTTCTTAGAGCCTGGATTTGACTTTGCTTTTCCAGACAGATGGATTCAGCAGTGCTTTTATTAAACTGAGGCCTTTCTGCAAATCTGTCGCAAACCTTTGGCCCTGACGGCGAAGTCTGGTTTTACGGATTATCCCATTAACCTGGACTATACACTCGTTTAGCACAGATACAATTTGTCTGGCAGGCTGAGGGTCAAAGCTGCTCTCCAGTCACCAGCTGAACACAGTAAAATGCACACAAAGACGTTTATTTTATCTGCGTTTTCATCGTTGTTCAAATGTTTGTATGACATGCTGAAGCTACAACTGATTTACAGTCTGCAAGAGACCAAAAACCTTAAAATTATGCATTAAAATTTTATAATTGCATACAAGCTTAACAATAGGAAGTACATGTTTAATTAATGCATGTCACAGTTTTGTCTGACCATGAAATAGCATCAAAAACGCTACATTTGGATATCAAAAATCTTCCTACACTATCAATTTATTAAATAGCAGGACATACGCGTAAAATTAAACAGTTTTGTCATAAAATTGGGACTTCCGTCACAATCATGAAACAGATGCTTCATTCAGATGTACCACAAATCATAATAAAATTTAATACAAGATGAGGGACTGTGCACAGTTAATTAGGGCATTTGAGCCACTTTGACAGGCTGTAAACAGTATTATAGACAGAATGTGGTTCTTTTTGTACATTCATTACAACCTCTGCGTATTAGTTGTTAGAAAAATATTAATAATGAATTGTGTGAAGACAAGGGGATTCTCTAGGACTTGGATTAGAAAAAAAAAGTGTATGACCAAATCATGAGCTAGGATATAAATGTACAAAATGTACAGTAAAACACACAAAAACCACCCATAAACCCATCATTACAAACAGAACATGAAAAAATACCATAATCTGAGCTGAAATGAGACAAGCATGAACTCAAATGAAATATATCAGACCCAGAAGTGGCACTAGTTTTTGTGTTTCTTTCATGCTATAAGCACTTTAGTACCGTTGTATGTGAGGATTTCTATGGCTGTAATAAGACACTATGCCTCTAATGCTGAAGGGCTGTTTTAGCTTCAGTAGGCTGGCAGTTTAAACACTCGGACAAAGACAGAGCATGACTTCAATAGCAACAATTAAATCATCTGGACAACTTTTTTCTACAATAAATGGTGTCATTTTCTTTAATTCACTTTATCCAGTTATATAAAATTCTCATGCTGCAAACAGGAAACATGCTCTACATCCATGACACGAAGGAACCGGTTACAAGTTTTCCCACAGAGGTCGCTGTTCTTTACGTGACGCTGGGCTAACAAGGCCAGCAGCTTACATTTCAGTGATACAGCCCACCAGATTTCAGTCATAATCCTCTTCCAAATGTGTGACTCCTTGGTAAAACCACACCTAAATCACTGAGTTATTTGGGTGCCGACGGTTTGAACAGAGATTAAAGTAAAGTTTTGTCACCGACTACAGAGCTTTACAATGAGAGAACCTGTGCTTTGACAAAAGCGGCTCTAGAAACAGGAAGTATGGCTCAATCTTACAAACAGGACACGTGTAACTGTCAAAGGTTGAAGACAGAATTTGGCTGGCTAATAAAAAATAAAATAAAATAAAATAAAATAAAATACAGAGTTACAGCTGACAGTACGGATGTTTATTTTGTTGCAACATTTTCTCCGCAAAGACAGCAATACTGTCAACAGTGCAGTCCTCAGTTCTCAAATGTCCCGTTTGCAACCAGGAGAACCACAGCTACAATGGACACGAGTCCCTTGAGTAGGTTGTGCACTTCATTTGTAGTTATACCCTTAAGTTGGGTTGGAGGGCTTTATATGGACTCAAGTGCAAGTGAAAACCTGCCAGTATTAACCCCTGGTCTATAAATAATCCATCTCAGGCATAGATCTGCCCAGAACCCCCGGTGTGTGGGTTATCTCCACTGATACGCTCCTGGCTCGGCTGCCGGTTGGTGTCGCTGGACTTAATGACGCCTGTGTAGTCGTGAATCCCTACCTCCATGTTCTTGGCCCGCAAGGCAGCGGTATGAAGCTTCTCCAGAAAATTTGGCATACCTGACATGGTGGTAAACAAGAAACTTTTATAGTCAGGTAAAAAAAAATTTAGGAGGGAAATTAAAGTTTAGTGAACTTTTGTACATTTTAGAATACACAAATTTAAATTAAAGTAAAACAGTAACGAAGGCAACACTATGCAGTTTTGACAAGTTTCAGATGGAGAAGAGAGCTCACCACTTGACACCATCCAGCTCACACAGTAACGAGGAAAAACAGTCTGCGGATCATCGCTGTAGGTCAGCAGGTAATCGAAACCATTCTACAGAGAGAAACACAAAAACAATCCCAGGATTTGAACACAAACCGTCACGTACAGCTGAATATTTTGGGGGTTGTTTTGTATTTATGACAAACCTCATCGAAAGACTTATGAGGGCGGATGACCATCTTAGACTGGTACGAGTGGACTCTTACAAATTCTTGAGTCTCTGGAACTCTGGGATGCTGAACACCTCTACACAAAAAATAACAATTACAAGAAGCTAAAAGATGGAAAAACACCATTTAGTTTGTATTTATGCTTAAATTGTTCGAAAAGAGAAATCGTTTCGAGTCAAACATTTAAATTCCCACCTGGACACTAAGATCATCAGGTTATTTTCGATGTCAACATCATAGCGACGCACATAAACGTAATCCCGCGAATACATAGGATACTGTAAACAACACACAAAAAAAACCAAATATATAACAACTTAATTCTAATGAAGTAGTAAGGTTGGGCAATATTGGCAAAAAATTAATCACAATTAATTGTGATATTTAGCCGATAATGATTAGTTTGATGATTAATCCCCTGGTGTCCCTGGGCACCCTTATGTCGTAGTCACATGACCAATTTAGTGGGAAAGATTTGCTCTTCGTAAAAATCTTGTTCCAAATTGTGTCAAAATTACAGACTTCAGGTTATACATTAAATTTTAAATTGTGTTGACAAATAAATTCCAGAATTTTTTTTAATGTTGATCACATTTGAAGTGGAGAGGAGCACTGAGTGGAGTCAGTCCCCCTGATCGTCAAGTGCCAAAAGATTATCGATTAATGTTTTTCTGACGATTAACTGCACACAATATGATTATGCCCAACACTACAAATTAGTCACTTCTACGTGAACAGAAACCCAATAAAATTGACATTTAGTTTTGTTTAACATTGGCAGCTTACAGGAAAGTGTGTTGCCCAGTGCACAACTTCAGAGCCTGTGTTGGCATCTCTGTCCACCACATCAAGCTTGATAACCAAAGAGTCCCACTTCTTCCTGTACTCTGTGTCCAACTGGGAGAAAGGGCAAAGTTTCCAAAAATATAACAATGTATAAGAAGGCTTTTAAACTACACATACATGGGAGCAGCTTTATAATTTAAAAAAAAGCTAAACAAAGCAAATCAAAAACATAACTGAATAATAACTGAATGTCAAAAAACACAAAAGCACCAACTGCATCTGCTGATTGATATGTAACATTGTTTTGATGTTTCAGAAGCTAAAAAGACTGATGCAGGTGCATCCTTCCTCTTATGGTGCGTTCACACCGAACGCGATTTCAGCGTCAGGAGCAGCAGGTTTACATGCAAAGTCTATGGTGGACGCGCTTCAAGCAACGTCGGGAAGTTCTGCGGCGCCTCAAGCGCGATGAGAGCAGCGCGATTTGGACGATTTGGACGATCTGAGCGTTCGACGCTCAGATCGTCCAAATCGCTGAAGTTGGGAAATCTGAACTTTTGCAGCTCGACGCGCAGCGTCAACCAATCAGAGAGACTCCACTGTGTGACGTAGCGACATATTTCCCGACGGGACAGTTTACTGAATGATGTCCACTAACCTGAAACAGACAGAGCTCCTGCTCTTTAGCTGAAATGAGTGCCTGCAGTCGTGTCCTGATCCGCAGCAATGCGTGGCAGCGACTCATCAGACTGAAAAAAAATAGTCCTGAAAGCGAGCTGTGAGCCTCTTCTCTGAATTATCTGGTGAATTAATTATGAATTAATTATCTGATGAACGTGACACGTTCTGGCTGTCTGTAAATAAAGCAAAGCCACTTCCTCGTCCGACATTAAACAGCCCCACAGAGGAGGGAGGGGCGGGGCGGCTGTCGCCGTGCAGCGCAGCTGTCCTGCGTCTGACCTCAAAGTGCACAAGCTTCAAACTTCAGCGTTGGCTGCGATTTTGAAGCTGAAATCGCGTTCAGTGTGAACGCACCATTAGTGATATTGTGGACCTTATCAGCTGTTTTGCAGTCGTTTCACTAGATTTCTTCTCAAACTGAACTTAAACACAAACGCAGCTGTACATAGTGAGATTTTACCTGTACATTGAAGAACTGTCTTGGTGTGACATCAGTGTAGGAACCTAATACTGAAGGGAAGACAAACAAAATAAAGTGACTTCACTTTTCAGAAATGCAGACTCAGCAGAATGCTTTGATAAAACCCACACACCTCTGTATTCATAAAGGTGACTGTTGGGAATGGGTCGCTTCCACACTCTGAAATCTCTCTTCTCCATCACAGTTTCCCAGTCACTTTCCTGCTGCCCAGCCATGGATCTCGACGATGTGCACAGACATTTCACAGTCTCCAGGGCCTGTAGTTCAAGTACACACCTGCAAAACAGATCCCAGTGTCAGGACAGGTTAGGACACTCATCACAGACAAATCAGTACAACACGCTGAAACACATAAATTCTACTGTTTTTATAAAGCATGATAAAAGGAATGACTACGGTGCTTAAAGATATTATAATCCCTGCAGTTATTTTAAAGGTAACTCTATTGTGATCTGGTAATGAAGTTGTCTGTATCACAGAAAGGTTTAAAGTTAAAGATAAATGGTTATGAAAATTTTTAATTCAAATAAACTGGCATTTGGCAGGATGATTGTCTTTCATTTAAGTGCAGTATTTTGTAAAAATTGCTGAAGGTTAGTGATGGGCAGTTTGAAGCTGAAGCTTCGGTGCATGTATTGAAAAAAAACAACACAGTTTCAGAAGCACTGTGACGGAGCTTAATTCGTTTGGTAAAAGTCACGTGATCAGTGACGTCCGAAGCTTCGAAAGAGGTGAACTTACGTCACTGCTTTGGTACCCGATTCAATGGTTAATGAGGAAGTAAATCATTGGCTGGATTTGTGGTGTGTTTTGATGGCAAATGCGCAAAATATAACAAACCAGTGAAGGACTTATTGTGAGACAGAGGCAAACAAACGTATGTGTTTAGTTTGTCGTGCAGTTTATAAGCCTGGGTCACATCTTTGAGTATTTTCTCCACCTTCAGCCTAAGCAGCCAACAGCATTGGTATATTTTATGTACAGAGCTATGCTGAGTAAACTTCCCAGAATTTTATTTTATTTATTTCTGTACTTGCTTGAACAGCGTTATCATATTTTGTGCCTTAGTTATGGAATAATCTTCACTCGCTTAATGCTTTGTCGCAGGATGAATTTAAAACGCTGATGAAGTCTTCTCTACTGAATAGTGCAACTGCCATTCTTAAACTTGACTCTGTGCATTTTTTATTCTAACTTATTTTTGTTTTTTTGTTAATTGTATTTTTTGTCTAGTAACTTGTGATGGCGTGCCCTCTTGGCCTACCTGTGGGATCAGTAGGTTTGTCACTCTAAATGTCTGCACAGGCAACCAATGTGTGTTTTTACAGACATATTACCTGCGGATTTCCTCGTCTTGGATCTTCTCGCTGTCCCACATGAAGACAGCCAGAGCCGCCATGAGTTTCCTAGCTCCAGGGGCATGCTTGCTCTGAAACCTGCGCCATATGTTGCCAACCAGGGTCCACCTGGTTCGCCCTGAGTACAGGTTGGAGTAAAACTCGCCAACCTGGCAGGCACGCCTGAGCCTCTGACCGGTCACAAAGCCACAGTGGTCTGCAAATATGGAGAGTAGTCCTTTCCTTTTCTGTCCACCGGCCTTTTTACCGGCACCCACACCTGTCCTCTGGAGCCAGGACAGCAGCAGGCCCACGTTCCTGCCCAGCAACGGAAGCCTCTCAAGCCTTCTCCTGCCCTCCTCTGCTGCCCTCCTAAAAAACCTGTTGCTCTGAAGCCTCACTGTATTCAGTCCGATGTCGCAGATAGGACGACGGGGCACCGCGTGAAACATGACCGTGACCGTGACACAAGCTCCACAAAACGAGATAATTACCTAAGGCAAGAGCTTTCCAACAGCCAAAGTTAATGCCCTATGGAGAAACGCCACTCTTTACTCCTAAATATTGAATAACACTGACTTTCAGTAAGCAAAACTCATAATTTTATTGGTATTAACTTCGCCTGTCACCCAGCGACAGGACACGCTAACATTAGCATTAGCTAGCTAGCGCTCTTACCAAATTGTAAACAAACGTGCTCCTCAACACTGCTACTAAAATGTAACCCTAACAAATGCAGCAAAAAACCATATAATACTACTGAACCTGTATTTTTCAGATTACCGTCCCTTAAATCTGCATCACGTTTTTCAGACTCATGCAGCGCGTTTGGTTTGACCTCCTCTTCCTCCGGTCTTTCACGCCCACTCACAAATCCCGCCTTACAGGTTTTGATACTCGTACGTGTATGGCTACTCAAAACTCAGGCCAGTCACGATTGGCTCGTAGAGGTGTCCGTCAAAACTTTAGCGGTTTAAGAAACCAAGCATGTGCGGTACGTCCAAGGCGAAGCTTTTCACCTTCCGGATTCAGTTTCTCGGCTGATCTGGGATCAGATTTTGTATTTCATGTAATCCGTTATTCAAAAGGCGGAAGCTAAAATCCGATCTGCGCAAAAGCAGAATCGAGAAACAAGTGAAGGAAGTCCGAATCGCCACCTAGCGGTTCCGTTTGTAAGCTAACTCAATCGTGTACAGTGTTGACATTGCTAACGCTACATTAGCAAAAATGTTAGTAAGCCTCAGCACTCTAAGTGACTAAGTATACTTTAAAAAGTTCTAGGTAAAAAAAAAGAATATTTATTTATATCTTACATATTGATTTTGATTGTACAGTGCCACTTTGCTACAGTTTGGTTCAATTATCGGTACATCTGGTTGACCGCAGTAACAAGGTTAGCAAATGGATGATTATGTGATTGTGCGGCAGATGGCGCTGTTTACCTGCAAAAGATGAACGTGTTGGGAAGCTCAACACCAGTAAACCACTCTTCATAAGACCTAAATTTAGTGGGGAAATTAAGCTGCAAATTAGAAAGGCTGTTCCAAGAAAATAATTGATTTTGGGTGGTAAACAATAGTTGAATTGACTTCACTCACTGACACACATTGTTACTTATTCCTCTTATTAAATTTAGTCCAACTCTGCTAAATGAATTATTCATGCAAACATTTGTGTGGTTCTTTTGTGAAGCAGTGCATAAAAGAAAAATCTAAACAAGGTTTGACAGAGATAATTCAATAACCTATATACAGGGTGTATCTAACAATAAGGCCATTAGTTTGATGATGTGGGTGTTATTAGCAAAAACACTGCAGGGTTAAATTTAGCACTACTGCCACACCAGGACAAACAAGAAGGGATTTCAGCATCATACAGCTAAAAGGTTTGATTAAAATTAATCAACTTGAAGAAATGCCAACTAACATCATTTTATGTTGAGAGATGACAAAGTTCTAGCTCTTTAAGTCAATTCTTGATAATATAAAAAATGTTAAATGCCTTCTTCACCTTAGAGTGGCAGATGATAACATAAGAGCTATGTCTCCTACATCTTCTGAAAATAAATAAGAACCTCCATTACCAAAGTTTTTATTAAAGGCAGTGATTGTACCTCTTCCTGCATTCATGCTGGATAATCCCCAGAGGCAGAGACGGAGGGGCAGATTACCAGCCCTGAGACTTGATCGGCCACCCCAGGTGCCACCCTAGTTGATTGACAAGTCACTGCATGTGGCACTGAAAGATATGCAATCAGAATAAATGAGAAGTATAGAGTAAATATCTGAAGTGGCTGTCTTGTCTGCATGGAGAGGACCTATCAGACTAATAAAGAAAACACTAACTTTTCTGAACCTCTGAATTAATATGATAACATTAGTGTGTGTGTAAGAGACAAAAGGCTAAGATAGTTAGATAAATACAAAAAACATAAGAGTTATGAAAATTGTCAATGTTCTTTAGACCAGTGGTTCCCAAACTTTTTATCTTCTGACCCACAAAATATCCATGGCAAAAACTTGTGACCCCAAATACTGTATATGTCTGGTAATATCGGTCTGAGTACACAAACTCTGTTAATAACCCTAAACGCAGGCTTTTTGACAATCTAAACAGCTTGTACACAAATATAAATACTTATTTATACTTATTTTGTGTTTTTGTAATAATTATAGGGAAAATATTACATCAGCAATTATTTTATTACCCTTTAAACTGATTTCTGCAGATTATCCAAGGTGCTTCATGACCCATAATTGGGTCCTAAGCCCAACTTTGGGAACCAAAGTTCAGTGGTTCCCAAACTTTTCAGCTTCTGACCCACAAAATAACAGTAGCAGAGACCTGTGCCCCCAGCTATTTTTGGATGATAAACACTTGTATCAGGTTAACAAAACATGGGCATAGTAACAATATTTTTATACTAAATTTATCCATTTTAAATACACTAACCTCACTCCTTTGTAACAACTAAGGCAAAAATGTAATTAATTCAGAAAATCTTGTCAGGACCCCACCTTGATGTTTCGGGACCCCACTTTGGGTCCCGACCCCAACTTTGGGAAACACTACTTTAGACGTTTCCTTCATTTAAACAAGCCCTTCTTGAAAATGTGTTTGCTACCCTTGGTCCACCTCTTGCATAAATGTTTAGCTTCACCTCTGTGAATGAATACTACTTACAGTAAATTGTCATTTCATCCAGTATTGTTTGCTTTTTTTTTTTAAATAGCAAAAATTACCTCTATAATTAAGGAACAAACAAGACATAAAACACTTAAAATGACTGTTTTGGTGAAGTGGGATTTGAGGAAAACTGAAAATTACATATTTAGAGCTAACGAGCAGAGATGGACTTATGGAAAAAGCCACTGGAAACATTCCAAAGTAGGATATTTCACGTGCAAATCGGCACTCCCAGCTGTGGGCCTTTCAGACGCCGAGGTAACTGTGGTGAAATACACTTATCACATGTCCCAGGGGAAATTTTCCATGATTTCTAACGACGTCAAAAAAGTAAAAACAATAAGGATTACACACTTCATAGTAAAACTTACTTGAACTCTTCGCAGTCACAAACACGTGATCTTTTTTATTTTGCACCCTATGCTTTACTTTCTGAGCACCATTTTCATGTGACGCATCTTTGTTGACGACACTGTGAACAAAGGAAAGCTTTGCTAGAGGGAACGTTATCACTTCCGGTAGAATGCTCTTCAATGAGTGACAAGTCCTTTCTAATGTAGACAACATTTGAAGCACCAACTGTTTTTCTGCTTTGTTCTGATGACACGTTTCTTCCTTTGTGAAAGCAGGGGGTCATTGTAATGCAGTATATGGGACATGTCTTTGCATGAATTCTGCAGACAGATGGGGACACATTGCAGCGGGCACAATGTGAGAATAAGAACAAGGAGTGGCGTTGAAGTTTTACAACAGAATTCAGAGAAAAACAGTTTACTCAGCGTCACAGGAACCCGTCAGTGCACGAGGATTACTTAATTGCACAGGTATTGATTTTCAAGTTTATGTGACTGCAGAAAATCCAAATGTAACTTGTTCAGACCAAAAGCCTCTGGTTTGTCTGCAGGTCTTGCGTTTCTTGTAAGAAGAGTCCCAGGAAGACACATTTTCAGAATAAAATGTCCTGAAGGGAAACAACTTCATAAGTTACACCTCTGAAATGCATTCAAACACATACTGCGTGCTCATTGCGCAAGATCTTGCTTAAAACCTTAGCATGTACTGTTAAGTCGACAGTTAGGTTTGTTTATCAACAAAATATCCCATAAAGCCCCTTAACCCATTACAACCCATTTCTGCTTTCATAATAAAATTAATAATAAAACCCAAAGACCTAATAGGTCAGTGCTTTTTAATGAAACTTTGAGAAATTAGTTATATATACAACTACAACTAATGGAGTCAAATCAAGATGGCTGCCACACCTACTTGACATTTGGCAGTACAGATTTGCACAGATAGAGCTCAAATTTGATGTGGTTGTAGCTGAGAGTCATTCACAGCTTATACTGACGTCTGGCAACATTGCATGAGATTTTGCAAAACTGTTTTTTTATGTTTGATTAAAACAAATACATCTCTTGTCATTCTCAATATAAAATTACAGTGTAAAACTCTGGCATGAACAATTCTTTCTTCAAAGAAAGCTGGGCCTTTGACATTGATTTTTTAATTATTTATTTATTTGAGAAACCTTCTTTCTGTTGAGTTTACTTATTATCAATTTTTTATATAAATTAATTTATTTATTATGTGCCAGGTCACGACTATTTAACTGCACTGACTTGAATTACAAAGAAATCTGATCCAGAAATGACAGCAGCTGAATAATGGACCCTCCTCTGCCGGGTACAGGACTGGACTCTTCTCGGTACACGCGCTGATCACGTGAAGAGGAGTGTCTTTCTGTCGCTGACAGCTGGGAGGAGAAGGGGGCGTGGCTTCATTCAGGGTGTATCCAATAATATAAAAAAAGGACCCCTGTTGTCCAAACCGGCACGAGCAAGTTCTACACACGCGGTAGAGGAGCTTTCATTAGACGTTTCTGGAACTTTAGAGGCGTATTGTACGATCTTTGAACAGGTTATCCTTTAGATCGTTTTCGACGCAGTTGTTTTGTTTTCAAACTAAGGATAGCTTCGAGGGGGATATACCAGTCCCGTTTAATTTGTCATCATCCCGCGCGCGCTATCGTTAACGGCTTGTGGGCGCGCGCGCGCTAATTAGCTTACCGGCTAAAAAGGGCACAATTTTCTTCAGGACTGACTGTCGCAACGTGTGGTAAGTTCATACTTTTTATACTTTTGAGACCCACGAGCACATTTTATTGTGTTAAACTAACAGGGGAAAACAAAGCTTTTATGAAGTCGAGGTTGGAGTAAAGCTATGTCCACCCTGAATGTCACGCTGTTGTTTACAACCCCAGTTTTTACCAACGACGAGTGATTTACTGGGAGAAAAACATTTAAGACGATCATTTATTCGGGGTTTAACACTAGTTTGACACGAGGTTTGTTTCGATTATACTTTTAATAGGACTGTGCTGTGTTCTGTCACCTGAGTCCGTATTGACGGCTAGTGAAAACTGTGCCTTGTCTTCTAAGCCATCATTAGCAGTATGGATCATCTGTCTAATACGCACTTGACCGATTAAAATGTGTTGGAGACGCCGCTGGTCTCTAGGGTACAACCATATGAGGCTGAGAAAACCCGATCTGTGTCACTTCCGGTTACGTCCGCTTTTACGAAGAAAATACGTCAAACATTGGTAAAACGACCGCTAGTATGGCCAATACAAAAATAAATAAATAAAAATCATCGGATCCTTGTTCGGGTCTTAGCCGTGTCCTTTTCTGATCCATAAGAGAGTGATCCCGCTTTAACACACTGCTTTTACAAGCAGTGTCGCATGAATGAATTACGACACGTGCGCATGTAGTACCATATTTACTTTTTTCCATATCAGCACTTGATATCCTTACACGATGTTGTCCTAGACTTATCAGTTATTACTTAACGATCCAGTCAACACGTCTATGTCAAAAATAAAGGTAGGCGTTTTATAATCGCGGCTCACTTCGTCCGCCATTTCCTTTAAAATGGCTTCCCGTTTGGGTTTCTGGAAGGCTGAGTGTCGTCCGCCCAAAGCGTTCACTTCTGAGTTTCATACTTAACCATTTTATATAAATTTCTCCCCGCTGAAAACTAAAACACCTTTTTTGATGGGTTTGAACTTTCTTACTCCTTTTTAAGTCACCCTGTAAAAACGTATTAAGTGAGCTCTTCCTGTGTTTTTTCTTTTTTCAGGATGCACTCCTGCTCACCTGCAGTCACATTCACACAATGGCCGGTTGCACACTCTGCTTGATTGCCAAGCACCAACAAATCTGCAAAAGATTTAGTTTAATTACAGGATAGCAATAAATATTTTCGTTTAACCATTTTCTGGTTAAAAACCCAGATTTTACAGATTTGCACTGCTGAATCCCAGAACTGTTAACACAGGTGGGCCTAAAGTAAAAGCTGTTTATTTATTTTTTACCGTATTACCTCTTCATTTTAGCTACTGTTTTTAAACGTAGCGTTGTATAGATATTTTCGAAGGCATTACTTTCCCTCAAGATTGTGAAGGAGTTACTATAGTCTGCAATCATGGTTTCAACAACTGCAACAACTGCAGCTGCAATAATCCTGGCAACAACTGTAGCAGCCCCCACTGCTCTCACAGACTACATGTGGCTGCTGATTGTTGGTTTCATCATCGCCTTCGTTTTGGCCTTTTCTGTGGGTGCAAATGATGTTGCTAACTCGTTTGGCACAGCTGTCGGCTCTGGAGTAGTTACCTTGCGACAGGCATGCATTCTGGCTACAGTGTTTGAGACCCTGGGCTCAGTACTAATCGGGGCCAAAGTGAGTGAAACCATCCGCAAAGGTATCATCGATGTGAACATGTACAGCAACGGCTCTGAGCACGTCCTGATGGCTGGGTCTGTCAGTGCCATGTTTGGTGAGTATGATGCATCTTGTTGTGGTGTTATTGAATTTTGAGCAAATATGTTGGCATTTAAAACTCCTTTCGGTGTCCTGGAAATAAATTGGTCATACATTGGAGAGTTATGTGTACTTGTACTTGTTCTTTAGTAGAAAAGACAAAAAGAAGGCCTGCAATTGTTGTTTTAGTGCTAAAACTGCCTAAAAGGTTCAGCTAAAATGTTGTTTACTGTTTCCAATTTGTTTTAGGTTCTGCTGTGTGGCAGCTGGCCGCTTCTTTCCTTAAGCTTCCCATCTCTGGTACACACTGCATTGTTGGTGCTACTATTGGTTTTTCACTGGTTGCCAAGGGCCAGCAGGGAGTCAAATGGCTTGAACTTCTCCGAATTGGTAAGATGTTTTACTTTGACCCACAGCTGTCGTTTTTTTTCACTGATAAAAGCAAAGAAATGTTGTGAGCTGTAGTGTTTGAATAAAAAAAGTGAGAATTTATAAGTGATCCACTCATAAATTGCATTTAATTACCAATTTAAGTTCACTAAACACAAAAGATTGTAGCTAAAAACAGAAATAAATAAAAGCCGTCTGTTTTAGAATTAGGTATACAGATAAAGAGGATAGGACATTCGATGAGCTGCAATGTATTAAAATCAGGGCATTGCAGAAAAGTTCCAGAAGGCAACATATGACCTGATTTCACAAAAGCTTTTTAACTACTGTTGCAGTGATTAGATCATTTGGGGTTTTATATTATTGCAAATTTGATTGCATGGATTACCAATAACATAACACTAGTCACAAATCAAAGGGGGAGGTTATCTTTATTTCCCAATGTTTTATATTGTAATAAAACGTAATGTCTCACTAACTGTAAATCAATTTATTTTCAGTTGCTTCCTGGTTCCTGAGTCCTCTTTTGTCTGGTATAATGTCCGGCATCGTTTTCTACTTTGTGCGCAAGTTCATCTTACAAAAGGTAAATTTAATTTACATACAATGTGGTGTGGGGGCAGGGGTGTAGGAGTGTTAACCTATTGTGAAATGCAATAGATATGTGCAATTGGGTGAATTTTGCCAAAAAAAGTGATTTTCATTTAAATCTTAAGTGGTTTGTGTAACAGTTCCTATGTAGTATCCTCTCCAGTCACTTGACAGCAGAATTGTCCAGTTATTTTGATGTAATTGACTTGTTTCTGCTTGTTGCAGAAAAACCCTGTACCTAATGGTTTGAAGGCCCTGCCTGTCTTCTATGCTCTGACCATGGGCATCAACCTGTTGTCCATCCTGTTCAGTGGCGCTACGAGTGAGTATCATTTGTCTTTTTGCTCTTCCTGCAGCCACAGCTTAGAATAAATGGCTCCTTCAGACAGCCGGATGCCCACTCAAACATACCAGATGGAACCAGACTGTTTACTGTTTTCACAGCCGCCGTGTTTATTTTAACATGTTTTTGGGGCTCTCTTGCTTGTGGTTTTGTGTGGGTTAAAGCTGGAATCAAGTTTTAGAATGGAGCACCACAGGGTGATGGAAATAAGACTTAACTCTTTGCATCACTGTCATCTGACTTGAAGAAGGAAAAGAGAAGTAATTTATGTTGAAATTGTTGTGACTGTCTGTTTCTAGTAATAATTGCTCAATTTTTAAAAATAATTATTTTTGTTAGTTTTAATTCTCCAAAAAACATTCTTATTAAACGAGCTACTTTTGCTCCTGTGTTTTCTTCTCTCTGCAGGGCCTAAAAGTTCAAGATGTTAGCTGGCCTGGGCCTTTTTAAATGACGGCTACAGGCCAGAATTTCACCAGATTTGGTGCACTGGAGATCACTTGCAGTTCCAGCATAGCCCATTGCCCTTCTTAGTCAGACACAGTCTGAATGAACACATAATGTGAGGACCAGTAAATGGGTACCTCACTTACAAAAGGTGTGAACTTGCACATTAAACATTTTAGATGTGAATTCATAAACTCACATCAAGCGTCCATATTTAAATTGTACCCAGAATGTCACCACATGGGAAAATCCTCATCGATTCCTGCAGGATAAGCTCGATGGAAATTCAACGTGATTTGCAGATGAATAGCTTGTCATCAGTTAATAACCTTATCCCGGTTCTGTCCTGCTCTGTCACAGGACAACTCCTTACTGCTGCTCCGTGTACTCTAATTCAGCAGCTGCAGCAATATCTGCAATGAACAGAGTACAGTGTGTCCCATAAGACTTGGCTCATCAAATCAACAGTTAGCATAGCCGTGTGACTGGACACCAGACATCCTACAGCACATTCCTGTACTTAAAAACAACCCAGACCAAGAGCTTAAGTTGGCATGCACAGAAATGACAGCAGTTCGAGCCAAAGAATTTAAGGGTCATTTGATAATCATTTACAGATGTCTATATTTTATTTTTCCTCCCACACTTTATAAATCATTTTGCTGCAGTCCCATCACAGCTATTGGGTGTTGTGAGCGTTAAAAGGGACGTTTTTATCTCAGATACATAATTGTTCAGTCTATGCCAGATATGGTTACGCCCATAGGAAGGGACAACATAACTATTGCTAAGTGAGTCATAAAATGGGTTTAACTACCTGTGTTAGTAAACTTTGTAGTAAGCAGCACATACTTGGAGGGAAAAATAAAACCATGGTGCTGAGTGATGTTGACTACATAATAGTTTGAGTCCAGTAAGTGATTTGTAACACAGTTGTGGTGAAATTTCATTTCCTGAGCAGTCCCATTCATTCCCATGTAATGGTTATGAGAAATGACTCCCCTCAGTTTCTAAAAATTTTCATCAAAATGCTAGATGCAGCCTTTTTATGTATAGGTGACCTTTGCTTTTTGTGACTGAAACCACACCCAGAACTAGATGTCTGACTACATATTTGTTTCCTACTTTAGTAATGGGGAAACTCAACTCTTAGAAAAGCCACGTTGTTGTTTTTTATAATGCCTGTTCTGAAGGCAGTGAGCTTTTATTGCGTAACAAAATAAACATTAGTTTGATGCTCTGCAGTCTTGTGCTGCGGCGTGACTCTGTGTAGAGAGTGGACTCTGTCCTCAAATTAACATGGAAGCACACACTTATCTCTTACCCTTACCCCTCATTTCCTTTTGTTTATCTTAAACTAACCAAACAGTCCCAGTCAAGTTTTGAAATTGGGCACAGCCAAGGTCACCTCGTCAGAAGCAGTACTGGACATTACAGCTTATTTTGTTTTTCCATGAACTTTAATGCATGACAAATTAAATGAACTTTCTCCAAAGGGAAATTCACATAAGCTACTTTCTCCCAGCATGTACTATGCTGCATTTACGTCTACTGCAGCAAATTTGCTGCAGTCTTGGCTGGAAGGTGCCTTTACAGCGAACGGCCTCGGTGTATAAATTTACTCACCCCATTGTATTTTCCTTTTGAGCTCCTTTTAAGGAAATCATTGTCCATGTGCAGTTTTTTTGGCTCAGAATTTGGGAGTCATGGTGCCTTTTGTGCTGTTTCACTTGTGTGTTACGTAACTGTTCACATTTTGGGGAACGCACGCTCCCCACTTTTACATGTGACATGATCCAGCATTGCAGCCATAAGCACCAAGTTTAAGATTAACTCAAGGTCATAGTAACAGTTTGCCCTATAAGTGATTTTTAATTACTACTGCCATTCGTATTTTATTTAGGTAGGAAAAGGATATTCTTTAATATTTATCCCACATCTTGTAGACTTGTAATTCTTACAATGATTTACATTTTCTTTTACAAACTGAACAGTTGTGTTTTTACTGTTTTACATATAACATGGCTTTGTACTCTAGAGGTAGCACCTGCTGCCTTGTCTTATAAACCGCCCTTTTTCTATTTGCCTTTTTGTGTTTCTTCGTGTGGACCCTGGCGATCCCTCAGTGCTGGGATCTGACAAAATCCCTTGGTGGGGCATCCTGCTCATCTCATTGGGCTGTTCCCTGCTGACCGCCATTGTGGTCTGGTTTATTGTCTGCCCTCTGCTCAAGAAGAAGATTGAACGTAAGTACCATTAGAGTCTGTGTGATTGCAAAAGACTCCTTCAAAAAATAAACATCATCAGCTTCCTCTGACTTTCAAAAAAAATCTTTTTGTCATTGAGCAAATGAGTCGGTGCTTCCAACCTTATAACAAAGATGGCCTGTGTTAATCCAGTAAATGGAGCTTAAGGGGATTTTTTTGCTTCGTAATGTAGTCACTCGTGACAGTCACCTGAAAATATTGTCACCTGTTGTTGCTTTATAATCCTGGATTAACTTTTTGTCAGAAAGGAGACAAAGTATGATTTTGATGTTATTAGGGCAACACCATCATGCTTTTCAACCCTCGATGATGGCCACCATTCTGCATGTTTTGCTTGTTTCCCTTGTCCAACACACTTGATTCAATGATTAAATTACCTCTTGATGTTCTGTGGAAGCCTGACAATCACCCATTCTGTAATATCAGGTGTGTTCAAGCAGAGAAACCTCTAAAACATGCAGGGTAGTGGCCCTCAGCTACATAAAAGCACCTGACGTGTAAGACACAGGCACAAATGTAAAAAATATATAGTTCTTTAAGTCCACAACACCACGTGTTTATGAGAAATGCTCTTAAAATAAGTTCAGTGTAAGAAAAATTCAGGAGTTGAATCTTTCTGGGTGAGCCTCTGTCAGTACACAAGTTGGTTAATTAGGTCAAAGTGATCCTATATTTGGTCGTCTGCTCCTTAACCGAAATAACCCTCTGTTGACTTAAGATGTTAACCTGGCTTTTGGCGTGTAATGGAAAGAGAGTGGGGGAGGTAGTCTGCTTAAGCTCCAGCCTCAAAGGAGTTGAAATGGTGTACTGTAGCTTTACGGTCAACTCACTTCAATATTTACCAGAAAACACTGCAACAGTGTTTCTCGTTTTCTTTATCAACAAAGTTCAATCAGTCTGTTGCTGTCATTTATAAGGTTACTTGCTAACGGTAATGTAAATATTGCCTGTTCAAGTGATCCTGTGAATAACCGCGCAACTTGTGAAAAGGAGTAATATTACTTTAATGGGACAATAGCCTCTTCACCCTGTAATTTCACAATCCTTATGAAATCTTACAGATTAAGTTGAAAGTCTACGCACACATGCCCGTCTAGAATTTCTCTGCTGGATCATGTATGTTTGGACATGATTCATTTTAACTTCTCTCCCACCAGGAGATAACAAGTCTTCCAGCCCCTCTGAGAGCCCCCTGATGGAAAAGAGAGAACTCAGAGAGGCCCACTGTCCTATCCTGAAGCAGACTGCCAAGGAAACGTCTGCACCTACTGCGGCAGCTATCGATCAAACCTCCGCTTCTGAACCCCAGCCCGCCCCCGAGGAACGCAAGGTGACATTTGACATTGGAGAATCTGACGAAGGGGAAAATAAGGAACGCAGGGTGGCCTTCGACATTGGAGATTGTGATGACACCGACTACAGCAATGAAAATAGTGGTATGTTTGCAAAGAAACAAGTTGTATGCTAATAAAATTAGATTGTGGTAGCTAAATGCTTAACTGGTAAACAATCCAAGCATAAATAAACTTGATGTATTTTCTCCTTTTCTTTTCTTGAAGCCTCCAAACAGCCTCAAACTAACAACCAAGTCCAGAACAGTAACGGCTGTGCAAATGCCGCCAATCAGGTCCACTTCAACAACCAAACTCAGTTCAATAACAGACCAGCACATATTCCAAGTAATGGTTACTCCCAGTACCACACGGTCCACAAGGATTCAGGCCTCTACAAAGACCTGCTCCACAAGCTCCACCTGGCCAAGGTTGGCGACTGCATGGGCGAAGCGGGTGACCGACCCATCCGGCGGAACAACAGCTACACCTCATACACTATGGCCATCATCGGCATGCATGGAGACTTCAGGCATAAAGAAGGAGACTTCCGCGCCGTTGAGGAAGGAGACAAGGGCCCGGGATCTGGCGTTCATGAAAAGAAACGCGTGCGCATGGACAGTTACACCAGCTACTGCAACGCTGTGGCAGAGAATACAACTCCTGAGGGTCTAGGAGAAGGCGACGTGGCATTAGAAATCAGTAATGAAGATGCGGGCAGCAGCCAGAGCTCCATAGATGACCGGCTTGAGGAAGACAAGCCAGAAGTCTCAACCTTGTTTCAGTTTCTGCAAATCCTAACGGCCTGCTTCGGATCTTTCGCCCATGGTGGAAACGACGTGAGGTAAGGACCGTAATGAAGTGCACGGTGTTAGTAGTCTTCAGGCTGATAAGATAAAACGTTTGCCTTTGTCGGGTTGTTGGTGACATTTTAACTTGTGACTTTATGGTCACTATTGAAATAACCTCGCTCTTTCTTCTGCAGCAATGCCATTGGACCGTTGATAGCTCTGTATTTGGTTTACACAACAAGCAGCGTGACCTCAAACATGGTCACACCCACTTGGCTTCTGTTGTATGGCGGTGTGGGGATCTGCACTGGACTCTGGGTATGGGGTCGCAGGGTGATCCAGACTATGGGCAAGGACCTCACCCCCATCACACCCTCAAGGTACAAAGTCTAGACACCACAGAAGCTGTTGCTCCCAGTCATTAAAGCCACATCCTTGGCAGACATTAACCAGTCTCTGAATTTAGCAGGCCACTCTGACACATCCACGAGACATGAGTGTTGTTTTGTTTTGTTTTTCCTGCAGTGGTTTCAGCATTGAGTTGGCCTCAGCCCTGACTGTCGTGGTTGCTTCTAACATTGGTCTGCCTGTCTCCACCACTCACTGCAAGGTAGGCTGGTTAAACACTGTGGTTTGGAAATTTGAATGAGACACTAGACTTTCCATCAGGAAGTCTGCTCTCTTCATACCATGGAACTAGTTCTTTAATATTTTATACATTTAAATGAGCCTAATGTGATTTTTCTAACCTTCGCTGTGTTTCCAGGTTGGCTCTGTGGTCGCAGTAGGGTGGCTTCGTTCGAGGAAGGCGGTAGACTGGCGTTTGTTCAGAAATATCTTCATGGCGTGGTTCGTGACGGTACCCATATCTGGTCTGATCAGTGCTGCCATCATGGCTGTCTTCATCTACGGCATCCTGTGAGCACGTGACTGCATCCCAAGAAAGGGAGGGAAAAGAAACCGCTTCAGTGCACACCGAGAGAGAGAGAGAGAAAGTCAAGTTGGAAGGCCAAATTATATCGCTTACCTTGTGCCAGCAGCTTTGGAAGAAAATGGAGGCAAAAAAATGAAACGTGAAAAGGACTTGTGACGTGCCTGTGGTTCATAATCAACCTAGCTGTTTGTTCCAAAACTTTTTTTCATATCGTTCTGTAAAGTTATTCTCAAAAACATCATCTGATGGTATATTGTTAATACTAATTCATTACCTTTTCTGTTGTTGTTTTTTACTTTATAATTATGTATATACAGTGATTCTGTTTTTACTTTTAATCTACACATCACATTTAAAAATGCAGTATTAGATCTTTACAAATGTAATTCTCCAGTCATAGCACATGCTGAAAGTAATGTAGCTGCAAATGCTGTATTAGAGAACTTAAAAAAATTTGAGTATGTTTATTCTCAAGTCCAAGTATTTTTAAAATTCTTTTTGTTTTACATCACACATTGTATCTTTTCAATTTGGATATTGTTTTTCCTCCATAAAAGACACAAAAAATAACTTTCTGCTAAGGTTGATTCAATGCTTTATATCTTATTATACAACCATATCATATATCTAGATTACTGCAGTTTCATTTGCCTTTGTAGAACTGTACACACTGGATGAGCGCCTGCAGAATAATTAAACACACTGTATTGTAAACATTTAAAGATCCGCACACTTTCAGGCAAGAATTGAAACAACAAAGACCAAACTGGAAATTTGAGTTTCCATCTGCCTGAAGCCAGTCTCCTCGGTTTGAGAGGCGCAACAGAATGTCTGCCAGCACAATTAATGTACTCAAAGAAAACCTTAAATCTGTTAAAACTTGATTGCATTGTCCTCGATGGTGATTGCTTTAGCCTCGTGTTCCCTTCGCTCACCTCAGAACGTCTACTTCCAGTATCTGAAATTTGGGTTTTTGATATCTTTTTTTTCCCCCTTTTTGAGTGTTTCAAACAGGACCTTTTAAAACTGGAAGTTAACGCAGTGGGTTTTTGGAGTGGAGTTCTTTAGGAGGGCAAATATACAGTATGGTGCATGCCACCAGTGTGTGGTTGCTTGACTGCAGAATTAAATGCATTTCATGACTATAGAAGCTGTAGTTGCCTTATTTTTGTTTTTCATTAGGTACCAAAGATTTTGTTTTTGTAAGTCCTAATTTGCTCCACGCTTGTGGATGAAAAAAAAGTTGAAATAAAAATTGAAAAAATAGCTACTGCTGTGTTGTGCTGATTTCAGGACGTGAGGTGTGACAAAACAGAAAGGAGACATGATATTGAGACAGGTGGGATAATTCCCTTTTATTGATGAGAGGTGATTCAGCTCAGGCACGGGGTGATGAGTAAGCGCTGGGGTCCTCGTGCTGCATTGTTACTTTTCACATATCTGCAGCGGGGACAGACAGGATTCCTTAACGCCAGCTTTACAAACATCACAATGCAGTTGTTTAGCAGAGCTCTGAGTAAAAAGGTGTTTATGATTCACTATTACTGCAGACTGGGGCTGAATGAATTATGACTACCGCCAGAAGCAGTGTATCCCCGAAGGGTCAGGATTTGCTGCAAAATGCTGATTTTTATTTATTTGTGTGTGTGTGTGTGTGTGTGTGTGTGTGTGTGTGTGTGTGTGTGTGTGTGTGTGCATGCAGCCCTGAGAATTTGATGAACTCATTTCATCAGCAAGCTTAAACCAAAACCAGTTCAACTTTCAGAAGAGCTGCTCTGCATCTTTAGTCCCAAAATAACCAAATGAAACTGCATAAATCAGGCACAATAAGTACCTGGGGACTAATGTCTTCTGAATGCCCTGGATTCTTGTCCTACAACGACTCTTAGAAAGATGGACTGTGCTCAAACAAACAAATCTCACATTTTTAGGTCAAACCAGATTAACTCATATCTGTGGTGACTTAATGACCCATATAAACAGCACTAAAAGTAGGGAAAATCCTCTGCTGCCATAAAGTAGGGGTAAAGTTTAGCTTGAGGTTTTTTTTTCTTTTTTTTATTTACAGCAGACTTCATTCAGACGTCAACACCATAAATGTTTTTAAAAAGTCTAGCTGAGACTGGCTGTGGCCGGTCCTGTTTTTCCTCCGTCTGCCTCATTGCCTAACCCACAATTGAGACTTTTACTTCTCTACTCAAAACATTTCCCCACAATGGTGCCTCTGCAGGTAGTTCTGAGTCAAAGAATGTTAAACACCATCTCTGTTCTGAACTGGGCCCGGTTCGGTCATCCCTATAATTGTGTTTAAGCAAACTGCAGACGGAGGTTTTCACCTTTTTCTTTGGATGAATCCTGAGTGACCTCATCTGTGGGGAACAGGAGAAAACAGTGAATATAAGACTAGTTAAACTTTTAAAAGATTGTTTAAGCATTTTTAACTCACCCAAAGTGCTCACAGTCTCTGTCACCGTGTCTTGGTGCTCTAAAAAAGGCATATGCAAACATAATGTATTTATGTTAGTTTTTAAATATCTTATCTCTTTTATTATCTTTAAATTTATCTTAGTTTAAAATTAGACCAAATGAGCAGGTTACATGCAACATTTTTAAAAACAGAACATCACAAAATGAACATCTCACCTCGTCTTTGTCTCCCTGTCAGAAAATTATAAATACAAAGAAGAAAAGTTGGATAAAAGTTTAATATTAACTCTTAAAAAAAAAAAAAATCAATGACTCACCATCAGTGTCCTCAGAGGAGTCAGACTCTGATTCTGGGTGTGAATGGGGAAACACAATGCAGCATTTCATCATGTTTAACTTTTTTCAAACCGTCCTTTACTGCCCCCTACAGCCTGAAACATGAACTGCAACAAAGCCTGACTCACCAGCAGGAGCTGCAGCATCAGAGTTCCCTGTTGGTTCTGCTGGAGGACAGTTTCACAGTTAGACTGGGTTAAATAAGAAAAAATACCAACAGTGAAAACGTTGATTTTACACTCACATAGTTTTATTTTGTCCTGATTCATCTTATTAATCCAGGTAGAAAAATCAAAAAGACAAATACATATAATATATAATACTTATTTTCTTTTTAATTATTTTATTTTATTTTTCTATTTTATTTGTATTCTAAGTTACTTTGTGTTACTGTAGCCATTCATAAATCAAAAATATTAATCTCGTCCAGGAGAAGGTTGTGATAACTTTTAGTTTTTACCCTTAAAACATTTAACTTTCTTTACAAATATCTACTCCATAAACTGTACTGTATACACAGAGATTATTTGATTACATTAAACTGTCCTCTTTGAAATCTGCTCCATACTGGCTCTTTTGTTCTGTGCTTAGTCGTTCTACTTTTTGCATCTAACTAATCTTTTGCTGCATTTCTATTTTTTGTTGTTGCTAATTTAGTTTTTGTTTTGCTTCTTTTAGTCTAGCCTTTAACAGTTCTATTTTTCGCTACTTTTAGCGTTTATATAGGTACTATTCTGCTCCATTGTGCTATACTAGCCTTTATTTAGAGCTTTACTACTTTTAGCTACCTTTTTTAATAGTTTAGGTTTAAACTAGAATTTTGAAACTTCTTTAGCATTTAGCCTTTTTGCATTTTCCACATTAAACTTCAAGATGGTCTGCTACATTTAGCTTTTAGCTACATTTTTGCTATATTTAGCTTTCCAATAGCCTTTTGCTACTTTAAGATATACTGTATTTCTGCGTTTAGCACTTTGCTACTTTTGGTTTTTAGCCAGAATTTTGCATCTTTTGTCTTAATTCAGCTTCTTTTAGCTTTAGCAGTTTCACCTTCTTTGCCTAATTTCAGCAGTGACTCAGCTCACATGAGATTTTTGCAGAAAATGTATTTGACTGAATTTTAATAGTTTTTCTTACCTTTACTTTCTTCTTCACTCTCAATGTGCTCCTCCACTGCCAAAAACAAGAAATGAAATGATTTTCTTTAATTTGAACATATGTGTGTGTTTGTGTGTAGAATGGCAAATAATTTGTTCTTGCACCATTATTTAACAAACTTTTTGCAATAAATTACCAAATTTTTACCTAAAATAATTTTTTTTCCTTTATAATGAACTTACCAGATTCATCCTGAACAGCCTCTATGAAGGAAAAGTTTAAAATCTGCATCACCAAGTGATCAAACTTTTATTGTTATTTTATTACTTATACTTTTGTATGAAATCATAATTTTTAATAATATTACCAAGGTTACGGATGTCTTCATTTTGTTCTCCTGTAACTGGAGAGGAAATATCAAAAGTTGTGATCATTTTTTTTCTTTTATTGAGTTCTCTTCAATTTAATATTGGTTCTCAGAGTTTTAAACTCACCATTGACCTGAGCTGCCTTTTCTTTTTGAGCTGCCTCAAACTCAATCTGATCTGAAAGGAGAAAAGTAATTTAAAAAAAGGCAAAACAAAAGAAAGTTTACAAATTATTTAGAAAAATGTGACAGAGAAATTCAAATTACAATATTAAAGTCAAATTCTAAACATTCAAAACCACTTTGCGACACACTTTGTTCTGGAAAACCTAATAAAATATGACATTTTATTTCAAAATCTGCTGTATTTTTACCTATTTTCTGCAACTCAGCCAGCCGATCTGGAAAGAAACGTTTTCAGTTATTCCACTTGAGACAACCATGATTTATTTTAATGAATAAAAACACTTTCTCACCATACTGAGTGACTTTTTCCTTTTCCTCTGAAGACTGCAGTGATGCTGAGAGGGCTGTAAAATAAAAAAAACTATTTGATCAGACAGAAAATTTAACATTAATCATGTCTACTGTCATTCAGATTACCAACATGACTTTTGTCATTTTTAACTGCTCCTCTTACCAGTGTGAATCACTGCCACGGCAAAGACACCTAAAAGTGGTCCTAGGAATCTCATCCTGGCTGCTGGTCTGGTTTGTGGAGGATTTGGGGCGTCTGGACTGTGTGGCGGTCTTTGTCGCCTCTGTTTAAAAACCTTCAGTCTCGTCACATGCTCTGTGTTGACAGGCGGCTCTGGTACCATTGTCCCTCCCTACCTGAGAGGACAGCTTGACGGACAAACACGACCAAACAGTCGCATCCTTATTCAGACCATCAATGCCACCCATTGTTGCCCCCCATGGGTCACATGGGCCTTTATTTGGTATCGCTGATTAATAAATAAATAAATTTAAAAAAAGAGGAAAAACAAGAATCTGGATGCATCAGAGCTGGAACAATGTTTGTTTCTTTTTAGAAATAGAGCACAGTATAAAGAGGTGGTGATTTATTTCCTAAAGCATCAGGATACTAAAATGTAGATAAAACAAAACAAATCAACGATCATCTAAATGAGGCTGAATCAACAAGTGGCTCTTGGGCCAGTTTTGGCCCTTTTTAAAACATTTTTGGCACCTAAAACGCTGTTTCATCCGAATACATTACAACCCTAATTCCAATATAGTTGGGGTGTTGTGTAAAAAAAACAGAATGCAACGATTTGCAAATCTTTTTGAACCTTTATTCAATTGAGTACACTACAAAGACAATATATTTAATGTTCAAACAAACATTTTTTTTCAAATATCCACTCATATTGAATTTGATGACTGCAATCAATAAAACTTCCAATAAAAGTGGGACAGGGGCAACAAGAGACTGTGAATAAAACACCTGTTTGGGGCATTCCACAGGTGAGCAGGTTAATTGGAAACAAGTCAGTTGCATGACTGAGTACAAAGGGAGCATCCACAAACGGCTCAGTTGTTCACAAGCAAGCATGGGGCGAGGTTCACCACTTTGTGAACAACTGTGTTCATACATAGTTCAACAGTTCAAGAATGATTCTTAACACACAATTGCAAAGAATTTAGGGATTTCGTCATCTATAGGTCATAATATCATCAAAAGATTCAGAAAATTTGGACAAATCTCTGTAAGTAAGCGACAAGGCTGGAAACTGACATTAAATGCCCGTGACCTTTGATCTCTCCGATGGCGCTGCATTAAAAATCCACATCATTCTGTAATGGATATTACCCATGGGCTCAGGAACACTTCAGAAAACCAGTGAATACAGTTCGTCCCTACATCTACAAGTGGAAGTTAGAACTCTACAATGCAAAGCCAAAGTCAGATATCAACAACGCCCTAAACGCCGCCAGCTTCTCTGGGCCTGAGCTCAACTGAGATGAACTGATGCAAAGTGGGAAAGTGTCCTGTGGTCTGACGAGTCCACATTTCAATTTGTTTATGGAAATCATGGACGTTGCATCCTCTGGGCCAAACAGGAAAAAGACTGTCTGGATTGTTATCAGCATAAAGTTCAATGGCCAGCATCTCTGATGGTATGGGGGTGTATTAGTGCCCATGGCATGAGTAACCTGCACATGTGAAGACAACGTTAATTCTGAAAGCTACATACAGGATTTGGAGCAACATATGCTGCCATCCAAGCCATGTTGTTAGAGATGTTCTGCTTATTTCAGCAAGACATTGACAAGCAACATTCTGCACCTGTTACAACAGCGTGGGTTTGTAGTAAATGAGTACTAGACCGGCCTATCTCTGCAGTCCAGACCTGTCTCCCATTGAAAATGTCTGGAGCATTATGAAGCGCAATATATGACAACGGAGACCCCGGACTGTTGAGCAACTGAAGTTTTTCATCGAGCAATGCAGGAGAATTCCACCAACAAAGCTTCAACAGTGTCCTCAGTTCCCAAACACTTACTGAGTGTTGTTAAAAGGAAAGATGATGTGACAAACATGACCATGTCCCAGTTTTTTTTGGAATGTGTTGCAGCATCAAATTCAAAATGAGTTAATATTTACATAAAAATAAACCAATAAAGTTTATCAATTTAAATATTAAATATCTTGTCTGTGTGTTCAGTTGAATATTGGTTGAAAAGGATTTGCAAATCTGTATTCTGTTTTTATTTGTATTTCATATAACGTCCCAACTTCATTGGAATTGGGGATGTACTAAAAATATACATGAGAGCCACTTCTAAACTTTGAGCATCATGTTAAGACAAGAAGAAATCTGCCTCTGGTGAGCCAGAACAATAGAGAGGGTGCACACCTGTAAGCAGCTGTTTGATTGACACATCCATCCGATCCGTGCAAAATGCAATAATGACGGACGCTGATGTCTCTTTTCAACCTGAAAGATGGAAAGTAGATTAAGTAATGCAGCAAAATAAAACTAAACAGCATTTTTATTCATTTTGCCAACACAAAGATTATTAAGGATGGTAAATGAAAAAAGAGGGTTTAGTCATTGTAAGAACGTTTGTTAGATTATTTCTTTTTTGTAACAATGCATCTTGGCAATAAATCTGATATTGTTGGAAAGTCTGTTAATTTATTTTTAAATGGTGCTATATTTGTAAGGAACATGCATTTGTGGGATGAGCAGTAGAGCTGAGTATGTGCACATGAAAAAACAAAGAAATAATCTATCAAAAAGTAATGTCCTTACTTTTTGTGCTAAATATTAAAACATCAAGCCCAATTTAAGACTCACCAAATGTTGTGAATTACTCTCAGCTACTACCTACCGCATCACATTTCAGCTTAACATCTATAAAAGCAGTTGTTTTCTAACATCAGTTACCTAAAACATAAAACAGATGTTTGCCGTTTTCCATGTTGTAGTTATGTTTTCAGATGCAAAAAACGTCTTGATTTTAGCTGTTTTTTTTTAATGTTTCAAATCTAAACACAAACTATGGTACTTTGGAAATGGTTTAACATCTTCCTCCATTAATGCTCATTGAAGTAGCTGAAAACTTTCTTTAAAGAGAAAATATTAATTAGAACATTAATGAAAGAGTGCAAATTATTGTGTTACGGTACTAGAGTGGGAAAAAAAGAACAAATGAGGACTAAATGTGAATTAAAAAAGAAACACGAGGCATGTCCATGAAGCAGTTTGAAAACCTGTAAAACAGAACCGAAGCTCCGGATTAAAATATTAGAATTAAAGAGAAAAATCAAGTTTGACTACAGACCAGATGAACTCTTTATCACTTTATTGTGATTGTAAACACTTTAAAACACTCAGTGTGGTCTGGCTTTTAATTGTTCTTGAAAAGTGAAACAAAAAAAATAGAGCAAAGAAAACATTTAGGAATTATTAAAGACACATTTTAAGGCACAATCACATCTTTTTCTCCACAAAGCTGAAATTCTACACAGAATGTGGGTTGGGATCGCCCAATTATTGATTAGTAAATATCTGAAAATTAACACAAATTTAGAAAACAAGACATCTTATTCCTCGCTGTTTAATGCACACAATTTCTACAGGGTTCCTTCAGGTTTCACCAACACAAATTTAAGACCATTAAGAACTTCATTAAAGACAGAAAACTACAAAATGAAACTTTTAAACCTAGGCAGCTGTGGTTCAGTTGGTAGAGCTCTTGCCTATCAGCAAGAAGGTCTCTGTGCATGTATGGTTTTCCTCTTAAGATTAATTAGTACTCCTAATTGTCTGTAGTTTGTGTGTCCCTGTGATGGACTGGAGACCCATCCAGGGTGTAGCCCACCCCTCACACAGTGACTGCTGGGTATGAGCACCAGCTGGATGGATGCTTTAACCTCATTCCTTTGAAGATAAATGTTAAATGAGCATTTTTCCTATATGTTAGCGACAGCTAGTAACAACAAAGCTGATTGGCTGGTTGTAGTTTTAACCATATTCAATCGATAAATAAGTGTCGCAGGAGCTTTTTATTAATTATTTGAGGTAGCATTACATGGGCATTAGAAAATTAAGACCTATTAAAAATGATTTGGTGAACACAATACTTTAGTGAATTTTAGACTTTTTAAGGCCTAAAATTTAGACGTTTTTTCGACTTTAAGATCAGGCAGAAACCCTGTTTCTAAAAAAACACTCATTTTCAGTAGTCGGATGAGAGGCCAGCCTGGAAAGCTATTAGAAGATGCTTTAATCAGAACTGGAGACTTATTGTAAATAGTGGACCACGAGCAAAGATCTGGCTAAAAAGCAAAAGAAGCAGATTTGATCGACTGTAAAACAGAAAACCAACAGACTCACACAGAAACAGGGAGACTTGTGGGTCTGCCCCTCAGTGCAGCTTGACTCACAGTGTTTAAACTCTTCAGCTCAGCGCAAGCTTTCAATTTGGTCGCACTGCTGCAGCTAATCTGCTGTGATCTGAGAGCACAGCGCCTCAATATAAGCATCATTTTGAGTGAATGGTAATTAATAGTTAGAAATTAGACGTTTGTGCAGATCACAAGCCCCTCTAGTTTCTTTCTTTTCTGTTTTTCAGAGTTCTCCTCTGAGTCGGGTGTGCAGGTCTTCCTGGTCGATCTTCGTGACCTGCTGGTGCCAGCGGTGGTGCGCCAGCAGGGCCACGTTCCTGGCAGCGATGGCGCTCATCTCCATGGCGCTGGCCGCCCACTCCACGGCGTTGAGGTAGTACAGCCGGTCGTGCAGGATGAAAGGAGGGGTCTTCCGGTGCGGCGGGCGGTAAGTCGGGTAGGCGAGCCACCGGGCCTCGGACACGGAGTCGTAGGAGAGGAACATCTCCCGCAGCTGCTCCGGGCTCAGAGGCTGCGGGGAGAACACCTTCCAGACTGCGCTGTGGCCGGCGGAGGGTCGTCTGTAGCCATTGGGGATGTGCACGGGGTCGAGGCAGCCCAGGCTGTTGATGGTACACCCCTTGGAGTCCGTGGTGAGGATCTCTGACACGGTGAAGTCGGAGGCCGGCTCGGAGGTACCCAGGTAGGACACGTTCAGCTTGCCGTGGACCAAAGTGGCGACCGTCTGGTGGTAGAGGCCCGGGTAGTGAGACGGGATGGGAGGGGCAAACCCTGAGAACGTGATGTCGGACTTTCCCTGATGAAGAGGCGTCGCGACGACCACGATGTCGTACAGAGAGTGCGCCGAGCCCGAGTCTCCAACGTAGTTAACCTCGTAGAGACTGACAGAACTCCCTGAAAATGAAAAGCGGGAAAGATTTGGTGAATGCATAAAATAGCCCATATGCCACGGCCGTTGATGACGTATTTCCATTGAAATTCCAGCCACGCACCTCCCTTCCAGTTCCTGCCTACTGCCTGTTGTTTTTAGCGTTAGCTGCTAGTACTAGTCTGTGAAAAGGTCACAAAAGTTAGAGCATCTGTGAGCTTCTGGTATAAAACGTGAGTTCTGTTGTGTGCCGTTGTGGCCACTAACCAGCAGGTATGATAGAGTAGTTAGTTTTTCTCCATTTTCCTCTTGATGAGGAGTAAAGGTGACAGCAGTGGATCATAGTAACAGGGAAAACTTAGCTATAAAAGCTCATGCTTGCGTTTGTAATCAGCATTTCTAACCTGAGGATATTCAAGAGCCAGCATCAGAAATGAGAAGAGGGGTTTACAAAAGGGAGATGTGCATTCATTCCCCTTTCACTGCCAAGACGGAGAGAGGAAAGACCTCCTCCAGAGGACAGCTAGCAGGAAGCTAACACAGCAGCCGGTACAAAGGTAGGTGTGTGTGTGCGTTTGTGTTATACACAGTATGAAATTACTTAAGGCAACTTTTTCATGAGTTTTACGCAAAAGTAAAAACTTGTTAGAGTGTATATTACAGCGTAGACAAAAACCGAGCCCCCCCCCCCCCCCCCCC